CACTTTTCAGATTTTAGTCCAAAAAGATAAGGAATGAACCTAATGTATGAATAAATTAGGGATGGGTAGTTAGTACGTGGTAGAAACATATTCGATTTACTCGAACGTCGATTTGTTCAAATTTTCCACGATTTCTTTTTTAACGACTTCAAAAAAGGAGGAGGTTATCAATTCGCCGGAATTTCTTTTTATATGTCACCGCATAACTTTCGATTCACGTTAACCTATTTCGATAATTCTTTCTTTAAAGGAAAGATGGTAACTCGGAGGTGGTCCCATAGTAATTGTGTTTGTGAAAACAAATATGTGTTAGTTACACCGACATGACTCCTGGCATGACTCTGAATGATTCAACTGTGTGTAGTCGAAGGCGAGTCAACACGTACCCAAATGACTCGTGAGTCAGACGCACCGTGTATGCCGCCTATTAGCTTCATAACCAAAAATAAATACAAATAAGAAGTCCTTTTCTCTCAAATAAAACAAGGAACAAGGAACGAAATAAAAGTGCACTACTGACAACGTATGATTTTGGGAGCTGCTCTTTTTTTTGCAAATAAAAACGAAATTCGATTTTTTTTTTAATTTTTTAGGCCCACAAAGTTCGATTTCAAAAATTCGCTATTTTCGAGCGAATATTCTATTCAACTTCGAACACCCCATTTACACATCCCTAGAATGAATCCATTTGTTTCACACGAACCTACATACATACGTAAATGTACGAGTACTTAGTTTGCGGCAACAATGAGCTTTTGATGTTGACAGTTAAAATGACAACACTACCCTGCAGGAAATGTATTTAGCTATAAGTTTACTTGAAGTTGATTAGGAAGGAACTAAAGGTCACTATTATCTGTAAATTTTCTTTATATTTCTATGGCAATGACCGCGAAATAGTCAAGGGTGGTTACCTCTGCCTTTCAAGTCAACTAACTTCTAACTAACTACTTTTGGACATAAAATATCAGTAAGAAGAACAAAATATTTTTTTTTAATTTTTAGTTATTTACTTTATTTTATTATATTTCATATTTGTTTACATATTCTGCTGGTGGTTGTCCCATTTTCGAACTCCGTCAGACATAACTTTAAAACGATAATATAAAACGTCGATCTTCCTTTTATTTGTCCTCAAATCGAAAATGTATTTCTGAAGTGCAGAAAGAAAGTTTATTCAAAGTAAAATTTGTTGTTTAAATAGAGAAAACAATCTCCCGTTTACGTCTGCATTTGTGGCTAACTACAAGTTATATGTTTTATAGGAACTCCGCAAAAAAGCTAACTCCAAGTTGGTTATTTTTTATCAATTGGTAACTTTTTTCTGCAGGGTAGAGGTAGAATGCATACTTTTGTTGTCGTCACAAGGATGCATAATAACGTACACATATCTGATGAATAATGATTTAAGTGTCAATTCTTACAATGAATGTATAACTTAATTTTTGATTTTAAATCTAGCCTGGGAATATAGTCTACATACATACATTAGCTTTTTATGACAACAACATAATAAACATTGGGCTTGGTTAACAATTCGAAAATGATTGGAAAACCAATATTTTTATCGAGTCTCACCTTCGATAACTATTTAGTGTGGAATAGATAAGTATTCTATTCGAGAACTAGACCATTCTCGGCCTTCGTTATCCAATGAATTTTTTCTTGGTTATGAATTCGAAATCTAGCACATTACCAAATTGAAATTTTAATGAAAGAGAGTGATTGTCTTATATTTCCATTTGAGAAAGAGCTGGATTTCACTTCCTCTCTTGTTACTATGGTTTTGATTTTTTTTCGAACCCATCTCGAGTGTATTTCCAATACATTATGAACGTTGGGAAACTAAGGTTGATTATGAGTTCGTTTTCAGTTCGATATGCATATTGGACATCGAAGGTCATTTTCGAACGTTTGCCAAAATGTTTATAGGGTAGTGTTCGTCCAGCGGTTGAAATCCAACTATGTACTAAAATTAAAGGGAGTTGAGTTAAAGTGAAGTGAAGTGAAATGATCTCAGGTGAGGTGAGTTTAGATAAGTAAAGGTAAGTTAGGTTGAATTAAGCTGAGGTGAGGTGAGTTGAGATAAAGTGCGTTGAGGTTAAATAACATTAGCTTGGGTGAGTTAAAGTGAGGTGAATTGAGGTGAGGTGAAATGCGGAGAGTTGACGTGAACTGAGAGTAGTTGATGTTAGGTGAGATGAGGGTGTTGAGACGATTTTATGTCAGCTGCAATAAGTTGAGGTGATATGCGTTGCACAACATAACATAACATAACACAGCATAACATAAAATAATACTATATAAAATAAATAAACATAGCATAACATAACAAAACATAGCATAACATAACAAAACAACATAACATAAAATATCATAAGATAATATAACATATCATAACATTGCATAATATAACATAACATAACATAACATTGCATAATATGACATAACATATCTCAAATACATATTTTTTCTATTTACATACATACATATATGTATGTAAGATTTTGAAATTTTTAACACATCACGTGATTATATGCGATGCGATTTCATATCATGCGATATATAATATCAAGTGATATTTTTCATGCAATTTTCAATCGCAAAATTCAAAATGCCACTTGGTTTCGTATATGTATATGTATGTACATAATAGGGTGATTGACTCGTTCTTTGCAAGCCGGTTTCAATCGATATTCTTTAATATTTTTGAAATCTTGAGTATCGGTTTTCGAAAAAATGCGAATAAACGAGTACAAGTATTCTCAGAAAATACATATATGTATATTGAACCGTAAAAAAGTTATACGATATCGAGTAAAGACAGTGAGCCAAAGTACGCATTGCCACGCACGCAATGCCGGCGATTTAGTAGCGATAAAAATTTCATCACGAAAATCATCTAATGAGCTTTTGGCTTTAATGAAGGCACGTTCCAAAATAGAAGCAAACTGTGCTAAGTTTTCTGTGGATTAGTACAAATGAATTAAGGCAGCTTCCCGCTTCAAATCCTGTCAACCGTGAAAGTAGTGATCGTAGCCTAAGTACCGATACAGCCCTAAGCAAACCAAAGGAAACACCTCCAACACAATGGCGACATGCATAAGTATACGTACATATGTTTGTGTGTGTGTGCGAACGAAGTGTATGTGTGCCGGTGACCACTGCCCATACGCCCGCTGAATGTGCCACACGACATTGCCGGCCAAACAGAAACAAAAACATAACCACAGCCACATAGTCGAACACTTCACTATAATATGTATGTATATATGTAGAACTATGTAGCTGGGGGGGAATCGGGCCGCCCTAGTCGTCGAAATTCGCACGCATTTGCCCAAAGCTTGGCAAGCCGTTCTCAGTTCGCTTTTGGTTGTCGACGAGTGCAATACTAACTTACAGCTTGTGGAAGCCAAAGACGCACACAATCAGTTACCCCATTGTCAGTCAGTCAGCAGCGTTGTCGGCGTGCGGTAGTGTTTAGTGGCCAGTTGCAAGCGGGACACAAATTTAAAAATTTTGAAAAATATTGATTCAAAAAATAAAAAATTTTAAATTTATGTGCAATATTTTGTGAAAATAATTTTGCGGCGCAATTAATTTTAGAAAACCAAATAAAACCTGAAAAATTTCAAAAATAATTGCCAATTAAAAAAAGTGCATAATGCAATAATTTTCGATTTTGGCACAGCGAATTACTGGGAAAATTGTGTGTGGGCGTGTTTTTATTCTGCACCGAAGAAAACAAAAATCTAAAGTCAAAAGTACATACATACATACATACATATCTAAAGATTAGCTGCATTTATTTATTAAGCAACAAGTGCCTTTACAGCCGAAAATTAAAAAAAAAAAATTTGGTATTTGCGAAAACAAAAACAACTATTTAAAGCGGAAACGATGTCCAGTGCAGCGCATATCCTGGCATTGCTCTTGGCATTGGCATTAGGCTGCACAGCAGGTGAGTTGGTTTTCTAAACATTTTACTTGTGGTTCATAGACCTTTTGAAAAAAACTTTAGTGCGGCACATCATCTCGATTTCTTACCATCGAAAGACACTCGCGGAATACTGAAAATATGTACACATACGAAAGTTGCAACAGTGATAACAGATCAAAAATAAAAAACAAAAAGCATTTAGAAAAAGTTTTTTTTTTTTTTAATTAAAAGCAAAACGTAAATAAATTTAAGTTAAATAGTATTTCTTGATTGGTTTCATTTCGGTTCTGAACGCGTTTCGAAGAACTCAGTGACTGGAAAAAGACGAAAGTAGAGCCTATATTTGTTAGAAGAGAAAATTCGGAACCAATTTTGCAGTAATCGTAGTTATAAATTGGAGAATTACAAGTTTTTGAAAGACTTTGTTTTTCCGTTTTTTTTTTTTTACTGGGTCTACACAGCGGCTTTCGTTTCCTTCAGCGCTCGACCCGAACTACATCTCACTTTCCGATCTTATTTGCCTCATTTACATTTTCCTTTTTGGCTTTCCTCTCGTCTTTCTCTTGCCTTCCGATGCAGCGCCAAATCCGCTATAGCATGTCACTAATCACTGCTCGCTTCTTCTCCAATTACGTGCCGCCCTCACTCTTGCCCACTTGACACACACCTCCACCTACTTCCCCTTCCACAGTATGCTCTTACTGTTCTAATAAAAGGGTTGCATTTTGTTCGCATTATCGTCGTTTTTGTTTCAAACCTCAATTCATGTTTGTTTTTTTTTGCATTCGGTCTGGCGCCCGCCATTGCATATGAATGCCCGTTAATTATGAGCTGCGCCGCTTAATACATATTCCACCTAAATTCCTAACCTTTCCCCCCTCCATGGCTGGTCATTCCCGTTTTTTGTTGCATTCAGGCAAGTTCATTGAACTGTTTCCGCTTCCGTTGTAGGGTATCACTTGGCACTCTGTCAAAAGTGTAATTTAATGTTTGAAATGTTTGCACTTTAAATGCCGCATTTGATAATTCTGAACAGGAAAAAGTTTGTAAATTAAATTTTTGATATAGCATAAAAGCACAGATAGCTTTGAGCAGATGTTGCATTAACTTGCAGCCATATATTTGGATTTTATGACTCAAGTGTCTCCCGCTTCATTGGGCATGGAAAAACTTAAAATTAAAATAGTTCAAATAACCCCAGCTGTTGTAACTCATTTAAATTGAATAGACCGCCGTTGAAGACGCCCAGGCCTTTCAATTATACCGACACAAAAAATGCATTTCGGACTCACGTCTCGGATTGCAGAGAGAACAAGGTTCGATCCCTGATCCGAGGCTCTCGGCAGGCAAGAGAAAACCTTCGAGCGCATTTCTGCCACAAAAAGCTTCTACTTAAATGCGGTTCGGAGACGGTCGTAGCGCTTTCAACAGAAGCAATATTTTAATATTGAAACAAAATGGTTTTGAAAGCTAATTTTATTCCCTTTCACGGAAAAATACTGCCATTGACCCACAATTACTCCTTGACCTTAAAAAAATTGGTCAAAAATAGTGTTCTTCGAAAAAAAATGCAAAATCCACCGGTTTTGTTCCAAAAAACCATTTTTGTATGTTTTAGTACACTAATTTTATAGATTTTGAGACGAGAAACACGATTCCATTGTTAAAAAATCAAAAAAAAATTTAGCACCTCAATTTAAGAAATTCACTTTTTCTTTTTTTTCTCACGATTTTATATCACTCGAATAACAAGTACGCTATAGTGCTATTCAAGATCTTTAATTTGAGCCAAGGTGGAAGTCTTTAGGCCCTCTACAATGATAAGAACGATGTGAAGGATATAATGTTTAGTTACTTAACTCGTTTTTACATCTTTTTACAGCATTGTACTTCCACAGTAGTTTGCCCTATAATAGCAGAATAAAGTTGTCACCCATGTAACGAACTCTCACACAACATCCTGCAACCACTTTTTATATGGTCCTTGAGTCACATTATCGCCAATAAAAATGAATCGGCGAAAGATCAGACCATCAGTTGAGGGCACTTAGTTACGCAAATAAATACATATCGCAACGTAAATCAAAAAGCGCTACAACTCGAAAAATCCCAAATGTGTTGGAGAGCCAAAAACCTGTTAATGCTGCACAAGTGACGCAAGCAAAACAAAAGCAATCTTAATAATATTTTTCCAGTTAAAGAAGATAGTGATGAAGGTAAAATTTTGGCGGACGTTAGAATCAGGGCAAGTAAACTGTTTTATCGCAAAAAAAATAATTTTTAAAAATTTTGAGTTGTGACTTTTTTCAATTTAAAGTGCGATATGTACATAAATATGTATGTAGATATGAAACATAACTATCCTATTCCTATATCTGCCTTTGAATTGTCAAAGCGAAAACTAAAACGCAATTAATTACTTTTCTCAAAAGATTCGGATGTGGCGTCGCGAGAAAATTGCCGCATCTGGTACTGTAAAAAATGTACAATAAAAAACCTAAGTTAAAAAAAATGCTCGGATTTCCAAACTGGCACCCTAGTGATTTCTTATTCTTTTCACGGGAGATGAATTGACGTGATAGTCGTCAACCAATATGATGCTACTAAATATTTAGTAATGCTAATGCATAGCCGTACACTTGACATTTCGTAGGCCATATTGAAAATACCAGTCACTAGTATGGAAACAAGATGGAGTTGGGCTGAATTCTAGTTCACAACTAGTAGCTTTCCCTGCAGGGAAAGGAATGGTAGAAGTACAAGAATGTGTAAAAACCAAAAAAATAACAGCAGGCATTTTATATCGCCTACTTATCAAGACAAGGACTAAAAAAACAGTTTGTTTGCATGCAACCATTGACATAATAAAACTGCCTTAATACGTACATATGTATGTATGTTTTAGTTGCGCTGAAGTAAAGTAAGAAAATTGTATATCTCAAAAAGCATACTCGAGTATGTAACTAGAAAAAGTTCTTAATGAAAAATCAAGCCTGCAAATACAAATAGTTATGTCTACGAACACTTCCAACATTTCAGTCGTACGTCCGACGTGCCACTTAGCAGTTCACCATAAAAGAGACACACCCTGCGGAATTATTGGAAACGTAAACAATATAAATATGTACGTACATGCATACATAAGAAGTGACATCTCCCACACAAAAAGGAGAAGTCAAAAAGCCCCTATTTATAAGCACTGCTCATTAAGCAGTGTCGGCAAAATGGGCTTTTGAGCTAGAGACGATGGCCTAGGGGGTAGTGATTTGTCTACAAGATTTGCTATCGGCCGGAATCAAAGAATGGGAACATTTTCAGAGACTTTGAAGAAGATCTATCTTCGCGTTTTTGAGAAAATGCATTCCAAACTTCAATCGCGATTTCGCACAACCTGCCGAATTTAACAAACGACAATCTTTTACCCAGGCGACGATTTGTAAATATCTATGTCTCTGCGAGAGTTTTGGGTTAGTGTTAAGAGTAAATATCATGAAGTCGCTAAAAAGGGTCATCTTAACTTTGCTTCCTTCTGTCACAACGTACTCCGTCGACAGGGTTTTCAGCTTACACTTATTTATACAAAAAACAGATTCAGGTCGAAATTGGATGCTACCCCTGAAATGCTGATACAGCTTTCAGACATTATATCGAACTACTATTTTATACAATAATTACTAACAGTGAAATAATTTCATTCTTCACATTAAAATTTAAAGTATTTAAAGTATTTAAAGTATTTCTAGTAAAAGTGTTTATTCGTATTTAAATTGCACTGCCTTTGATTTTTAGTAATTTGATGTGGGGTTCCACAAAATCATCTTAAAAGTTTAAGAACCCCTGCCTTAGAGAGTCTTTTTTTATTATTTATATACGTTCTCTGGTTTTAGCATCTTTAAACTTGCACTTTGCATACTAAAATAGAATGGACTATAAAAGTGCCAACTCGAACTCAATGCAAAAATTCTGATTAAAAAGTTGGAATTCTGATGAAAATCTGTAGGTTTTTCTTCTTTTTTTGTCCCAAGTTTGAAATTCTGTTTGTAGAATGAGCTAAATATATATTCATTTATAAAATATGAAATGAAAAAACATCACATTTTCAATAACGCAAAAAAATAGAGAAAGCAATTAACTATACAAATACCTTTTCCGATTTCAGTTAAAAAAAAAAACGGCATGTACATACTTATCCATATGTACATATATCCATTTTCCTAAGCTCACGCCACACAAATTACGAGCCGATAAGACTTTCGTGGCTGAGCGAGTCACTAAAACAATTCACTATCATTTTCGTAGCAAATTAGAGGCTTCAAAGTAAATGACTACCTTTAAAAATAATTTTAACTTTTTCAACAGGTAAATTGTTTCAACAAAGTTGTGTAAAATATTTGCTTTTATGTACATACATATTAAATGTTTTATTTCCAAATAGATAAATACATGTGTAAGTCTATACTTTTTTTTTCGTTTCAACTTTACTCACACTTAATATCTGCGTGATGGCATTTCCGGCAAAAAGGAGAAAACTATTTTTAATTGCAGCTTTTTTGAAATACACACTACATATATCGCGAATCCTCTTTATATCTGATTAAATTTTTGCGACCAGAACTTAATTAGTAGCCGGCTACTATGCAATTATTAATTAATCTACAAATATGTATGAACGTAATTATGGATGATTGCAATAATTTCCCAGCCAGCGAATGTCATTATTTACTGCGGCGGCCGCTTTGCTGGCTGATGCGTGCCTCATTTAACTTGTCCGCAGGTTTGTTCGAAATTTCGTTAGTTTAAATAATTAAATATCGTGCGAATCTCGATTAAAGTTGAATGGGTGGGTGCATGTTTGCTATTACATATGTATGTACATATGTGTGTGTGTATGTGAATTGATTTAATTTGTAGGAAAAAATTTGTAGCAAGATTGGCAGTTAAGTAAGTTGACAAGTGCACACAAAATGTGTGTATACTAGGGTACTTCTTAAAATGTTAAAATCAAAATTTTGTATGGGTCA